CCAAGTAGGCATCATTTGCAGAGTTTGTTTGTAATTGAGACTTCTTGATAAGCTCATCGAGTTGCTTGTTGTTGCTAGTCCATCCATCGGATAATTGTTTATGCCCGCAAACGCACCACACGGGACTACATCGAAGTATTCCACATGCGGAGCAGAATCCATAGAGAGAGTAACAATGGTAAAACCTTCTATCAGCAACCATGTAATACTTGTCGTCATACTCGGTAAATCCTTTTATGAGTCCGTTGCGATATTTAAGCCATTTGGAATATCGTCCAAAGTGACTGACATCACTATCGTACTTGTGTGTTGGAAGTGAGTATATTCTAGTAAACTCGTTCAAAAACGCTGGCGTAAACAATCCATCATTTCCAACTAATAGCAGCATTATCATGCCTTCACAATTCAATTTATGGTTCAGTATATATCTTAGTGTGTATCTGCGAGTAGCGTAATATATGTTGTCTGTTCGACTTGGCGTTATTTCGGTAATTTGCGAGTAAGGAAGCCATTTAAGTTTATCACTAGTTATCAATTTGCCAATTGCTGTCCGAATATCCTCAACTAACGACATACTTTTGAATAAGAAAGCTTTTCAAACAGCGAGAGATCATTATTGTGTTACATCACCCATTATGTATGCGTCATGCGCCGTAATATGCGCAGCTCTATCAATCACTCATATGTTAGCGATAGTGCTAAACAAGCTCTTTAAAACACAAAAGCTCGTCCGGTGGCTATTTGCCCAACATCCAAACCCTTGGTATTAATATTACTTCCTCTTGCAAATTATTTCGTTTCAAGCATTCGCACAATAATAATTGACACTCTAAATGTCCTTACACAAAAATTCACAGTCACGCAATCCAGGGTCGTAGTCAGATAATAATAATGGATAACATGAAACGTGAATAAATGCTGGACCCTGAAATTCTTGTGATACGACCAACATTAAGAACAGAAACTTTAATCGCTAAAGAGACAGCTAATTCATCCCTCCTGCATAGCACGCACATGTTTATCTTCCTCTTACATTCTATCCCTCATGTGTTCCTAGATTATAATACAACCTTTTCTCGAACACAAAATAAAGTAATTTTCGACGACAAAACGGACCAATAAGAAGGAGACACACTCATGTGTTCTTTATATTTTAGGCGATCGCGTACAACTAGCATTCACATGTGTCGCGAGCCAGTCCTCGTGAATGGGAGATGCGAGACAACATAAATAGTTCGTTGATGTGAAGAATGTTTCCGTGAAAATTATCACGGAACATATTCATTGATCTTCGCTCACGACGGTTACATTGAGCCATATACTTATATTTTTGTATGATAATCAAAAGAAAAGAAATTATCTGACGAGGTTATTTTCTGTACATAAAACCAACGGAATGTTTCACCAACGTAATGTCACAAATTCGGTATTTGGAGATGGTACACGACTCTCAAGAATGTAAGATTTATTGGATTGTATTCTTTGTGCTAAACCAAGTTCGACAGAAAAAAAAACGCTCGGTGATCGCTCAAAAATACTACCTATTACTATGATCATTTACATATTATTTTGTTGTCCCATATTCTAATTACTCGTTTATCGACTCTCAATCTCGACCGTTGATGCTGCCATTCACTCTACCGCGCCTTTGGACCCTCTAGATCTCCTTCCGCATGCTCGCAACAGCGAAGCATCACCGAGACTGGCGCCAACAATTTAAGATGTAGAAAAAGTGGATGTGTTGAAGTTATTCTTAGCGAACAAGAAAATAATGAAGTTGAATGTGAAGGTATGAAAAATAGTAAAAGGATGAACCAAATCCAAAGAGAGATGAGAAAAACGTACAAGTAATTCAGATATCGTTGTCAATCAGGGATGGATAGCCGAATCGACATGTTCGCACAGATTCTTGAGGAGCAATACAGTATCAAGTTTACCAGCCATTCTCGGTCGACTCGGGTAACTATCTTTTCATGCATCTCATGTCATTGTCAATCGATCTAAATCGTAATCGACTGTTTCATACTATAGGGTCCCGTGAGAACAGTCGGGAGAATCTCTAGCGGATCGAAGGGACGACTAAACCCTCGATCTTTGTTATTTCATACTTCGCAAAACCTAAAGGAGAGTCTCCGAGGAGTTACAAAAGCAATTCTGGATTTAGATGGAAACCTGTCATTTTCGTTATTTGCTGGACAGGTAGGAGGCGAATCTTCGATACCTCAGAGTAGTTTAGTTTACGCGATGGGTTTGCAAGGAACGAGTATTATGCTGTGTGGCTTATGTTGGTAATAATTTTCTACGACAAAGCAACGTTCGGGTAATCCAATCATTTGTTTATGTTATCAAAGATTATTGGAGTAGAAGGAACGTTCACATCTCGAACCGTGATGCGAGTATCTAAAATATATGAGGTATTGTATCAATTTTACGGTCATCGTTTTGCACATTGCATACAAATTTTCCTCGACATAACACTGCCTCTCTCTCTCGTCCGTTGTAGCCTCTTCCGTTATCTCCACTCAAAATGCCTCTTTCAAGGATTCTCAGGAGTGATGACAAGCAAGGCGCTCAAAAGAAATGTCCGATGACTATCGTCATATCAGCTGGCCCATACACAGTTAGCGATAGTCCAGATAATTATCAGCCATTTTTTGAATTCCTGCACAATATGAGAATGGAGAAACCAGATGTGCTGATTCTGGTAAGCGTGATAAAAGCAAAGACGTGTTAGAAGCATATGTGTTGGGTTGACTTTGTTGCGGGTAAAGATATGTTGGATTTGTGTTAAAATATGCACATTTATTCATTGTTTACACATAACATAGATTGGTCCATTCGTTTCTCAAACGCGATCGACGCGAATGTCTCCTCAAGCTATCTTCTCGGCATATATTTCAAAGCCGCTAGAAGTCTTTTGCTCAATATCACCCAAGACAACAGTTATACTTGTCCCGAGTCTTGAAGATAAAATTTATCAGCCAGCTACATTTCCACAGGGCGCAATGACTGCTCGTAGTTTGAAGATTCCAGAGGTACTTTGAGCCCGTAAACAACTATTGTCTGCTGGATTAAATGTCAAGAAAGATCGTTTACTAATTTTAATCAACAATTACATTTAGTCCGTCTATTCTCTTCCCAATCCATGCTATTTTCAATTGAGTGAGATTGGAATCGGAGTGTGCACAGTAGATTTACTGGAACATTTTGTAGCTGAAGAGGTCACAAGGTGTGTTTACAAATGTTCCATTATAGAGCGCTTTAGGAATAGAGTAAGGTTGATGGGCACAAGAATTGAAAGTTTTTTTTTATTTGCCTTATAGAACGCCGAAGAGGGATAAAACTACACGATTAGCAAGACATATACTTGGTCAGAGAAGGTAAGGGGGATTTGATTAACTGAGGCATATGCCCTGAACATATTTATTTACTCTCGTCGATTAATACGTTCCACTCTATTTGCATAGCTTCTATCCCTTCTCACCCACTTCTCATATAAACCGAGATATCACTATGACTCCATTCACGAAGCCAGTCTACATTAAACAAGCACCCGATATACTTATTCTGCCATCTAAACAAAGCCATTATGCCAAGGTAAGTTATGGACTGAGACAGTAATCAAAAAGATGCTATATCAAATATCGATATCTCTTACCCATTGTACTAACTAATATTTGTATTTAGCTGATTGATAACGTGATGGTCGTCAATCCGGGACATCTGACAAAGTCTCAATCTGCTGGTACATACGCCAAGATGACTGTTCAACCGACGAAAGGGGAAGACGTGCAGCATACAAGCAAAGAAGTACATATTGGAAGCAGAATTCAAGCCTCGATTGTAAAATCGACCCAGATGTTTCGATGGTAACAGCGGTATATTACGTAATTGAACTGTAAATCAGAATCAAATGCCAAAGCATAATGTAATTACTCTGTCTGGCATTAATTTTTATTATCTTATAGTAGTCTGTGTTGTGTTAATCATCTATTAATCGGTGTATTAAAGTGACGCGTCACAAAAGATTCAAGTTTTTTTTTTTTTAATTAGGATAACTTTATATGATTCATGGTTGCTTGTGCTGCTGGTCTTATCATTTATCCCACCTGAATCTTTTGTCAAGAAAGCAACTTACGAATAAGGAAGCGAACTATATTGAAACAATCAACTAATGTAATTCAGAAATTGGAGTATTAACAGAAATCGAAGCTTCGATTTGCTTATTCAAGCCATCTCGGACGTTTCTGGTGAATAAATTGTGAAAACTGGACTTCATGGGCCGGATTTTATCGATGCACCATCGTCTTTCTCGAAGAATCTCGTCACAGCATGATGCCTTACTATTATACTTCGTCGTCGAAGTACCAGTTTCCTTAATACAGTAACATAAACAAACTGTCTTATCCTAATTCTAACTTGTGCGAAAACGAGGACTAGTAATGGACAATATAGTAACAGTATGGCGTGCTACAAAAAAATAGTGAAACAAAGAAACGTGTATATCATAACCAACATTCCAAATATATTAATATATAAAATAGCAAAAATTTTGATTTTATTAAATAATATATATCAGTCATTAATTAGTTTGAGATTACAAGTTGATAGCACTGAGACATGAATTCTACAACACCGCTAATAGGATCACCAACCAACTAGTATTTTTTGCGGAAAGCTGTTTGTTGTTGATATCCATATGTTGGTGTGGTATCCTCATTAGCTGACCGTATCCAGAGCTGGATACGCTGGACACGCCGACACTTGTTGGCAATCGCCATATATCTAATAATGTAGCAATCGGCAATATTAGCATACAACCGCAACAACAACCTATCAAGTATTAAAAAATAAAAGAAAAGAACCAACCTCCGGCGTCCTGTAGTAATAAGACAGCCGACGATGGCTGGCTGTTGGCACGTATCTGGCGATATTGTGCCAAAACGTGCCCAACAGCACGTTGAATAACTGGACGGCCGCCCGAGCACATCCATTGTTGAGGACAGCCGATAATGGCTTTGGCACAATATCTAGCGATATTGTGCCAGAACGTGTCCTAAGACCGTAATTAGTCCGGGCTAAGGACAGCTAATGATAGCTGTTGGCACATAGTAATAGTGCATCTCTGGTGTGATATTATGTCCTGCAGCTCGTCGAAATAACTGGACCGACGGAAACAATGTGCAGTTGATAAGCCTCGTCCACCAGACTTCCATTTCGTCTTCGACGGAGAGACACCCAGGTAAAGTTTTCCGATATAGTACAAGTTGATTAGCATTTATGACAGCAAAAGCGTTTCAGGAGTGAAAGCTGAAGAAGCCGTGTCAGGTCGTTAGCCGCAGTTTTATACACGTAATGGTTGCGTGGTACCGCTTCTGGAGAACCAGTAATATTGGTCCAACATGTGCTACGATGGCCGAAAAAAATTTTTTTTGCCGTAGCCGATCGGTATTGGTTGAAACAGGTGCATGCAGCACGTGGTTTAATTGATGCTTCTGAGCATAATAATAATAATAATAATAATAATAATAATAATAAACTATTATTATTATCTGTTATAGACTCAAATCGTGATGATATCTAGTCGCAACATGTATATGTTGATTTATCCATGTTAATACATAAATCTGCTACTGTAACCTCTTCGCATGCAGTTGTTCAAGTCTATGAAAAGAGGCACGATTAACTTTTGCAGGTTAAAATGCGATTATCCGTTGTATAAATATTAAACAGGAAACAGGAAACAGCAACAAAATAATGATTAGGAATTGACAACAGTAATTTGCGATACGCGTTCAGATTGAATAATAATATAGATTAGAGAGAAAATTCTCCAGACATATTCAGGCTCCCAACATTAAAACTAGCGTCAAAAATATCAACAAATATAAATGATTGATATAACAACTTACTGCTCAGGATTTATTGGCTTACTAAATGTCAACATTAAAGCCTCAAATTAAAATATCACTATTGCTATCTAATAAATTCAGCAAGGCTTAGCGAAGCCACATGAGGAATGCTTCAGCGTTGGTCAAGATGTGATGCCTCGCCGGCAGAGTAGCGGTCAAATTATGTATGAAACCCTGACGTCCATGCTCTTTCTGGATATTAATCATGACAACATCGATTAGAGCTCTCATATACAGTCACTTGGTAATAAGTTTATTTTTTTATACTACAGATAGCAACATGCTTTTATGTTAATGATTACGTTCAAGTTTCTTCAACCACTTTTAGCAAAACGTTGTGCTAACAATCGAGTGGGAAAAACATCATAATCAATAAAAACCTATGTGGAGCCGATCAAAAGACAAGCAAGCACTGGGAATTACTAAAAGATCGAGTTTCGAACTATTTTACTATTACTATTACTATTGTTAATATCTAAAGCACGTGATCTAATTTCCATCAAACGTCATCGTTAACGTACGACTGATTTGCAACAAGCATATATTTTTATCGCCAGAATCTCTGGAGAATTCACTTCTGTTTCTACCGTTCTTTATACTCTCCTTTCTGTCATTCGTGTGGTGAGAACTATTTTTTGGGAGCTGATGAGGCTTAGACATTACTATTATAATTGGTTTCATAATAACATAATTAAATTCTATAGCTTGGATACGCAAATTTCAAGGAATGGCAAGGTCTTATGATCGCGGTATGAGAGTAAACCGAGACGATTGTTTGGATTTTTTCATTTTTGTTACTAGAAACTAATCGATGCTATATGTGTTTATTAGCGTTAACTGTTTTCTCGCCTGATGGTCACTTATTCCAAGTCGAATATGCAATAGAGGCAGTGAGGAAGGGGACATGTGCAGTATGTTTGTAATTTATCGATTAACGTTCACATGTATATAAACGGTATACTTTGTGTTGCTTGTTGAAATATTGTCTTTAACTAATCAGTCTCTTGCGATATCTTCTTACTAGGTCGGAGTACGTGGTAAAAATTGCGTAGTATTGGGCGTAGAGAAAAAATCAGTATTGAAATTACAAGATCCAAGAACTGTTAGGAAGATTGTAATGTTGGATGATCACGTTTGCATGGCATTTGCAGGTATGCGATTAAATAGTCGACCCGTAATGCCAATTCCCTATATTATGACTATTCCGATCGATCATTCTACCTTCTCGTTACTATGTTATCAAATGACATCACTCACAATGATCCTTTTCTTGATCTTGTTTATACATTTGAAAAATGATTGTTCCGTCAAACAAAGGCCTAAGTGCAGATGCGCGCGTATTAGTTAATAAAGCGCGTGTAGAGTGTCAAAGCCATCGGTTAACGGTCGAGGATCCAGTAAGCATTGAGTATATAACATGTTACATTGCCAGTGTGCAGCAGGTGAGTCCATATAGGATATAAGTGAAAAGGGGGAGGTGAATGAATGCGATCAGTTCTGGAGTCGAATCATCAAAGTGTGAAAATGGGAAGTGTGATAAGTATAATAAACTGTCGGGAGAAATGCTTAACCACGAATTATATATAAACGCAGAACTTTTGATTTTCTTCTTCCCAATAGAAATATACTCAAAGCGGTGGAGTACGTCCATTTGGTATTTCGACATTGATTATGGGATTTGATGCGAATGATAAGACACCGCGATTGTATCAAACAGATCCTTCTGGAATTTACTATGCATGGAAGGTGGGTTACGGAATTCGGAAAGCATTTACATGGAATTGATGTACCAGCGCCTTTATGGTCGCTGAGTAGTTAGATAGAAATCTGGTTAAAAGCAAGTAATTACGGAGACTATTTTAACAAGGATGGACAGGAACTGTCGTATCATAATTTAAATTCAAATTATATGGAAACTCAAACAGGCGAATGCGATTGGCAGAAGCTCAAACACTGTCCGTGAATTTCTTGAAAAAAACTATCATGATGAACTTAGTACCGATGAAGCAATCAAATTGACGGTTAGAAGTCTCCTTGAGGTTGTCCAAACCGGTGCCAAGAATATCGAGATTGCGGTTATGACGTTGGACGCTGGCATAAAGGTTTGTTAATGAAGTATGGGAAAAGTGGAGAGTTGCGCGAGGATATGCGCAAAGGGTGAATTTAAGTACAAGGCATCACATAAAGAAAAGCATTAGCGTAAATGAATAGTTAAGCGAGTGCAATTATGACAAAGAGAGTTCCTTTACAGATTATGAAGTATCTTTGAACGTTGATAATGAAGTCACTTGTCTTCTTCTCCTAATTCTAAAATATTTTTTAGAACCTAGAAATTGACGAGGTTGAAGGCATAGTAACCGAAATTGAGAAAGAAAAGGAAGCCGAAGCTGAGAAGAAAAAGAAACCTTCAGCATCAACAAGCACTTAGAACTGTGATGTCGACGCACACACACATACACACGCATATATATATAAAATAAATAACTAATAAAGAATTTATTTGAACGATGAAAATAAACGACAAGAGTTTGTAACAAGTTATACAGGTACAAACTTGTGGAAATAAAAACTTATTTATATTTGGTATTTCGAGTTTGTTGTTTGAGATATTTTCAAGAACCAAAAAACTTGCTTTATTATGCTAATCGCGCACAAGATAAGAAGCAAAGGACGAGAAATGCAAATAACTTAATGGAAGAACTAAAAAAGAAAATAAGAATGCGAATAAATTATGTGAATCAGTGGATAGTTTGGGTGCTGAAGATTAGGCCAACGTTCACTCTATTACGAGTGAAGATTACCAAGACGTTATACCAATACTGTATGCCATCTGCCCGATTTGGATCTGTATAATTACAACTTCGCTTCCACTTCGAAATTATTTGAAACCTAACAAGTAGGAATAAGTACCATATCTGTTCAGTTATTTTCTAATAATCCTATCCTATACCAATTAAGGTTTAACGTACCTTGCTCAATAGGTGATCTCCATAGACGACTGGCTTGTGATGACAAATAGGGTCGACTTTGAGACACGGCTCAAGTGGTTCAATTAATGCATCAAAATTGGGTTCGTAGAAAAAGGGAACGCTGAGGAAACGAAAGAACATGTCAAAATTGGATCTTTGGTAATATGACCGACGTGTGAAAGTAAGTTTGCGGGGGTGAGTAGACTTACGAGACTCGATATTCATCTCTCGTGTGTACGACCCTATGCAATGTGCTCTTATATATGTCGTTAGTCCACGTCTACAGTTAAATAAAAGTTAGTGAATTAATATGAAACACTGCGCAATATATCGCATGCAACCACCTACATTCAGCATATCTCCAATGTTAACAACAAATGCACCTGGTACTGGATCAGCGTTAATCCATTCTCCTGATTTTGTTAGTACTTGGAGAGCACCCTTAATGTTATCCTGAGAAATTAATCAATATTTCGCGTCACACGAAGATAATCTATTACTATTGATGATAGTCGGGCTTTTACCTGGTTGAGGAATGTGAGACAACTAGATAATCATAAAAGTGACATGTGTCAAGAACGTTAGAATGCTATATATACTTGTGAGACGGAAGCAATATTATGGCGGGACAACGTTACTCCTCTATTTCTAGTAACAAGGATTCACGTGTTATGACTATTCAGACAAACAGCGCATTTGGAGAGAATGTCCGCACTTATACGCGAGAATAAGACTATGTCTGCTCTCGGAGAAAGTAAAGGAGCCCTTGTGGTCGAAATTCAAACTCCTTCTGACACAAAAAAATAATAATAGACACCTGATGTTTTTACATACCCATAATCTATTAAAAAAGAAACAAAGATTAATATTATACGTGTATACACGAGGAATATTGTATAAATTTACCAGTATGTTCGCCACAACTGACTCCAACTCTGTCTTTCCCTTCAACAGTTTTCAATGAAGGGTATCCGATTATTCTCATCACCCTATCAATGTACAATGGTAACATTTATTATAATTAAACGCTTCTCACACTTAATAATATGACAAAATATTTCAATGTCATATCATACGCATACTCCTCTCGTTGTCAATACCCCCTTTTATAAAACTGAACTCACCAAAACGATTCGTCTAGAAACTTGACAAAATAATTTTCGTCCAAACCCCATGCAAGAGCAATGCTAGACATAACCTGTGCTCCCAGACGTTTCATATGTTCGACATACTCTTCGAATACAGATTGAAAGTTATCAATCTCTGCCGGCCACTGATTTTCGCCACGAAGTGGGAGTTTGCGTTGAACTAGTACGTGGTTACGGGGAATTGGTTTGTAGTAGTCAAGGGCCTGCAGATTTAAAAAAATAAAATAAAATAGTATTGGCAAGAATTTGTGCGGGATGTTGGAATTAAGTACTAATAAATTAAAGTTTTATTTTTAATATTAACGCAGGTCAAATACTATGGTTCTATTGGAACAGAAGGCACTTACTTCATGCCAATCTTTTTGGTATCTCGTAACATTCTCGCCCAGTCGTTGATATCCTCTGGTCGAATACCGACATCATTATTAACGGAAATCAAGTATTAATGCAACAATGGTAATATAGTGTACTCATAAATCCGGTTAATTTAAAAATCTCCCTTTTCATTCATTAGCTCCTTCTTTCACAAGTATTTTATTTGATGCAACATCTTACCTTGCGTAATCTTGATTGCCAATTCCGTACTTACTCTTCGTTTCATCATTTAATTTAAAAAATTCATGACCCAAGCGTCTTACTTTCTCGCAAAGCTCTTCTGGTATCCCATGGTCAACAATATAAAAGAACCCCATGCTACGACATGCATGGTCTATTTCCTTTGCCACGGACTGTTTTGAAGCCCGTGAAGAAGAATTTGGAGAGGTTAGCGGTGACAAGGAAATTATGGGAAGTTCGACTGACATTAGACTGTAATAAAGATTGCAAGTGGAAACTCTGTGTCTTCGTTTAAGGAGAACGACGTATTTTTGACCATCACCATTTTTGACCATCACCATTTTTGACGTTTTCGTCCGCAATACAATGTCACACAGAGGAACATAAGATCAGAAAGATAAACGAGTTACTGAATAATCGTACACGTGCTAAAAGTCAAGGGTAGGTATACAAAATATTATATAACACGCCCAGAATATGAATTAGATTATCGGTAATAAAATAAGTGGGAGACAGTGGCAATTAACAGCTTTAGATTCTGTAACTTTTACGTGACATTTACATGCAAGTTTGTTTACATATTACTTTATGCCCCCAAATTATGCTATAATGAAACAAGTCTATATGTACTACTAGTATGCAAATATTATATTCAACATTTCAAAATACATTAAATACATCTATAATGGACTACACTTTTACTCGTCACAAAAGGACCACACTTTGACCACCCCGACGCCAAACTGTCCATTTGAAGTCCATCCAGCCGGAGCATTCTCTCCGTTCCCAACTCTTACCATACTACCATCCTGCCATCCGCCATTCACACTTACAATCCGCCCTTCATCAAATCCCAGCCAATTAACACCCTTGGACTCTACATCCATGTCCATAGCATCATTCAACGTAACAACGCACACAGCTTCACCCGTCGCCCCTTTCTCTTTGATTTCTTTCTCTTCCCACTCCCTTCTCTCATCCATATCTTCTTCTGCTTTCCCTCTGATCCCAAGATCCCATATTTTGATACTTTGATCCATTGCACCGCTTATTAGTTTCCCATATTCATCAATTGCAACAGCTTGTACACTGCCCGTATGTCCATATAACGTCTGGGTGTGCGTGCATTGTAATATACTATTGGGATTCGTGACATGAAATAGTTGAATAGTGTTGTCGGAGTGTGCTGTAATTAGGTGTGAAGATTTGTAGGAAATGGTGGTTATTGGAGCAAAAGAGAATACGGAAGAAGATATTTGCGGGGAACAATGAGTCGTCGAGATAATCGATGTTGAATTGAAAAGAATTTCCTGTTGATGAAAACGAGAGTTAGATCCACCATTGATATAGATTTGAAATAATAAAACATCGATATATAATTAATACAACCTGAATGCCAACAGTCCATCCGCCGCCATACACGCCAGTTGCGTAAGCGACAATAATCCGCCATTCACCACTCTTGCCTCGTTCTTCGTCATCCTTTTCTTCAAGAGATATATCCAAAGGAGGTTTACATATAAAACTGATCAATTGATGCAATAGCCTATACTCTACTTTCTCCCCCGCATTCACTATTTCATAGACGCTCAGCACAAACTGCGCAGTACAAGTAACTAATATCGGATAATGTAAAGCGCACGCAATCACCGGTATCTCTCCACATAGTCTTACTGGCATATTCACAACTTCTCGATATCTCCAGTTGTGAGTTGGGTCTTTTAGTATAGTATCAAACTCAAAGATGGAGAATCCACCATTGGAATAACCAGCAACTATTCGTTTTTGCCAACCAAATTCGTCCTCTACTTCGTCTACCGAATCGAGTTTGAGGCAGGTAATATATATATCATTTATTACGCCTTTATGTATACCACTTTTAAGTAAGCCAATCTTTGAATCCTTTTCTCCTGCTCTCCACAATATTATCTCTGGATCAGATCCTACTGTATACGAAGCAGTCAATATCACATGTTTGGTAAATTGAACTAATGGATTAGACGGCGGAGCGTGTCTTAATCTTATATGACTAACTGGCACTCGATCAACTGACGGTACAGGTTGGAACTCTATCACCCGACAGTTTCCTGTTTGCCAGTTGTGGTTAACCCGATAGATATCTTTCCAATCCTCAGAATGAGAGGCGGACGAGGACAAGCGAAGACGTTGCGGATGTCGGTAATGTGCTGGGACTGGGCGATGCAAAAGACTGACCCGGGAAGCTGACTTTTGTTTGTATGGAGCATAGAAGCGAAATAAAAAAAGTCTTTTCCAAAGCTGGAATTTCGGAAAGCAAGAGAATAAGAAAAAGAGAAAAGGAAGTAAAAGCAGTCATGATAATGATCCTGAATTCTCACTTGAGGATCGTTAACCAATCGATGCCAGTGCGAGGATACTCTTGCGCAGGCGCTCAAATCTTTTGCATCCAAGTATTGAAATACATGTAAGATTAACTCGTCCGAGAACAAGTTTACAAAGTCCGCTTTGATTTCGGCCTCAGTTTTACCAGTTACTATAAAAGATTGCTTTATTCTCTTTGCTGAGTGAGAGTTTTCGCATGACATACTGTCATTATAAGAGGATCAGGCATTAAAAAATGACATGCCTATTAATGATAATGCATGTGATACATCACGTGTAGTAACCGAAAATGGTATAGCATGGCTATGTCGCGATGTGGTTGTTAGGAAATAATCAAAGATAAGATATTGAAAGTGGCTAAAATGAGTTTCGAAACAAATAAGTGTCATTGTTGACATAAAAGTGGACCGCGATAATATTGTGTTTTGATGATTAGACGCATGATTCAGACGCATTTCTCTAGACACGCACATTAGCATTGGCAAGTGTCTGTATATAATATTTGGAATCAAATATATCGAATATTATATTTGCATATCATCATGACATTTCTTTATCAATAACTGAATTATGAACATACCGAACAGTGAGAAAATCTCTCGTTATCTATAATTACGCGTCCAACAACAATAATCGAATCAAATTTATACTTATTACAAATAATTCTTTGAAACAAGCACTTTGAAAAGTTATCAGCAACTCGTCAACTTTTTTTAAATTCGGCAAATGCGTTTATTATTAGGGGGCGAATTAGGGCGTTTTTGATATCGGATAAAGTAACAAGACGATAAATCAAAAGAATGGACGCGCAGCCACAACATCTGGCACTTTTTTGACCAGAGCGTGATCAAATGACATCCAATGCGTACAAGAAGTTTACTACCGCGAAAAACTCTTGGATGTGTTATGGTACTGCTCGATACATATAGATAGATCCGCATCGCATCATTATGGGATTAATCTAGTCTCTTGACATATCGAAGATGCATCCTTTACAGACAGCTTTTATATTTCAGCGGATTCATGGTATAGTGAAGTTTTTAATATAACAAAGTCAACTGGCTTCATTATATCGCAATTTGTAGCTAGCACGATTCGTTTTTATTATAAGTTAACGTATTTGGGTATTCTGCTACCTGTCTCATCCAAATATGGATTAACCTTAGGAGGTGGTCCATATATTGGCTCACGAACACCTGTATCAAAAGAATCTTAGTATTGTTCTCATTCTGTTAACATTAACGGTTTCAAATGGTTAAATGACGTACCAAGGATCTCCTGGTAAATTTTAGTTACATCCTCATCCCACACTTCTCTGAAAAATGATGCACCACGGACGGTCAAATTGTAATCTTTGACAAACTCTCGAGCATTCATTACTCTCTCCGCCTTCACTTGATTTACGTCAAACTGGGAGGGCTGCTCAAGGGCAGCTACAGTGTATCGGTGGTATTTTGTCCCTTTCGGCGGATGGGGTGGAATATAAGGCAAGATTGTGTTGCCACCATCAATCGTCGATTTCGTAGCTTCTAGAGGAATGTTGACTCTACAGAAAAGCAGGTTGGCAGAGACGTTCGGTAAAAGAAAGAGTAAAACACAACATAATAAACAAGATTTGATTACATTAACCAGAGCCATTCTGTCTGGAATGATTGCGTCTTAACGTTCGGCATATCTGGTTTGAAAAATGTGATTTCGGGAAAGTATTTTTAGAACTCTTATAATCAACGCGTATCCATTACGTTTATTTACACTAACAGAATAAATCGACAGATAATCACGTACCGGGATCAACCATTGCCAGTGTATAATATCTTGACTCTTCGTGAAAATTCGTAAGAGTAATTGTTGGCTCGTTTCTGCTCTACCAAAAGAACAAGTATCCTTTTTCAAGATTCCTACTCTATTCAATAACTAAAATCATACAAGTCCATCTCTCTTGCCAATATCGATACTTACTACTTTAGGTAGCTGGTAGGTTCCCGGTTCGACCACTGAATCGAATTTTATTTCAAGATCAATTTTTGGATCTAGGCTGGGGAATACGTCTGGAACAACGTACATTTGATGTATACGTTCCAACTAGTATGAAAAATACAAACGGAATTAGATTAAGAAATATGATGTGTCAATAAATTGTAATTACACATACTAGTTTTTGTACTGGTCCCTGTCGCCATTGTTGTTCACGCATATACCTATAGACAGGCATCGACATGTCGACTAATAAAGCATACGTTAGTTGTGTAATCTATAAGATACAAAGCTGTTTATAACGATGTACATAAATAATCTGCCATAGCAATTCCCTTTCCCATTTAGCACGTAAATACATTTATTAAAAGAAGAAGAAAAAAAATTTTTTTTTTTGAATCATTATGTCTAGTTTTGACTGGAATAATGAACTTTCAACTCAACTGATTCCATGCGCGGACTTCCATCTAACTTCCGGGTCATTAATCTCGGCATACACCTGCAAGTTAAATTTCAATTGCTTAAGCTCTTCCAGCTTTGCATTGCGTTTTTCAGATTCTGGGGCTTAATAACAGAAATCAGATTAGATTCGAATCTCCAGAAGTTAACGCGGGGATCCAAAATTCTCGAATCTCCAAAAACGTCTTACAAACCAGCCATCCATTTAGCAATCGTTCCCTCAAGTACTTTCAACTGCTCGTATTTATTATTTTTATCATTAACTATATACTTCAATGCTTCATCATACGCCGAATTTACTCCGAGTGCAGGTGGCTTGTATATTGTAGACGATGTCTGATTGTTGTCAATTTTCTTTATTTTCTTGGATTGTGTTTCACTCACAATCGCCGGTTTTGTTGCTTCTTTCGCTTTTTCTTTAAAATCCTGAACGGTTGTGTACTTTCTTATGTCATGGGTCTATCATGGCATTTGAGAATGAGTGCAGGATCACTACAAATCATGCGAGTCGAGGATGTGCTTCAAACTTACAACGTTGTTTCTGCATCGACTAATCAATAAGTGTATGAGTCTGTTTGGAGAAGCACGATGTGAGATCATTCTTGACAAACTTGATGCTGTCAAAAGCATCAATCAGATCAAATTCACTTGTTTCAAATGACGATCAGGTCGCGTTTGTCAGATCAGTTGACGATAAAATTCAGGTGACAAGGAAAAAATCTTAAATTAATTAAACCACTTACAACTTTCGATGTTTTTAACTTTTCCCGACAATTAAAAATCAGATAAATAATAAACTTATGATTAACAATAAAGCGGGTTGCTCTTACTGGTGTTCAAAAAAAACTTTTATGTCTAAAAAAGGAAAGTTCAACCTAACTATCTGTCTCTGTTTATTATTAAAAAACGCGAACGAATTGTCGCAGATCTGTAATTAAAAGCACGCAAATCAAGTTTCCCAAGCCATATCTGGCGGAAACCTTAATGCATCAACAATTATTGTGTTACATTGCGCATTAGCATGTTCACTTAATATGTTGGTTAACATTTACTCTCATCACCGTAATATGTGTTTCATCAATCGTTAGTTGAGGATATTCAAAATCAAGCAATTGACATTGACGACTTGATTCAATCCTCCGTAGAAAGTAAAATAAACTTCAACGGATTTCTCACTCAAAAATCGCCGACATAAAGCCAAGTCAAATTGACAACGTTTCTTACGCTACTCTCAAACACACATTGCACAATGGTAGAGTCGATCAAGAGATAATGCTACTATTAGTTGGAGGTAGCGAAGAATGTACACCAACATGCGTTCGTGAGTTTGCTAGAATATACTCACTTTCGACACACAAGTACAATAATGATGTCAGTCAATATAGACGATATTCCCGATGGCTTAGTTATCGCAATGACTGGATACATGGATTCACCAGGCATGATGATAACTATTACATGGTTGCTGATAGAGAGTTTTGCTATTGCTATTCTCGATATGATTTCTGCTTCGTATGTGGAATACTCCGATGTAGTCCCGTGTGGTGCATTTGTGGACATAAACAATTATCCGATGGATGGACTAGCAACAATAAGCAACTCGATAAGTTTACCAAGAAATCTCAATTACAAACAAACTCTGCAAATGATGCCTATTTGGAATGGATTCCATTTGATTGCATTCGTGATGGGAAATATGGCTTATACTTGCATGGTCTACCTATTCGTCAATATGTTAAATTGATTCCACTTGAGATAACAGACGAGACACATGATTCATATTATGCCGAGGTAAACCATTTATTTATCGTCATGTTTATTGAATAGTTTAACTTACTATCATGTATCATTTCCACTAGTTATGTGATGGGCATCCAGATGTTCTTACCACGGATGTTTGGATTACCATCGGATTCACATATGATATACGTGAACAGAAATATTGTCTGATAAAAGAGCGCGACGGGCATGGATTATGTCTGGCGTGCACATTTTGGTTAGAACCCAAGATAAATGCATTCTGCTATTGGTGTAAAATACCACAACCTCTTGATTGGACTACGGGCAACAAGTCTTTGGATTCATTTATAATGGAGTCATGGAGTAATACAAAAAATGAATATGATGCGTATATACAATGGATAGAACACTCTCATTGACAAACGTACAAGAGATGACATCATTACGCCATGGATGCACGCATATAGCAGAATGTTTAGAACCGACAACAAAAGAGTTGACACATGTGACACTCAAAAAGATAGTTGACAAAGGGGACGACCAGTCGTTTGGTTTTCATCAGGTAAATATAAATCATTTCACGTGTAAAATGCAAAATAGTATTATTAACGTGTGTATCATTGTTGTAACAACTTATTTGTTTATTCAAATAGCTAACCAAGGAATACCCAGATATATTAATACCGGATAATATTTGGATAATTGGGATCACTCAGGAACCATCTACTCGGGAATATTATTTGGTGTTCTACCATAAAATATGTCAGATATTGGATAGATTTATACGAAATAATAAACGTGTAAAGTACATGCAGTATAGCGACTTTTATGACCTCAAAGAGATCGGATCTGGAGGTTACGGAACAGTTTATACTGCCAAATATAGAAAGTATTCAGAAATATATATTAATATGCAACAAACTGTACTCAAACGGTTTAGGAGTTTTGATGAAACGCCGAAATTATTTATTTCCGAGGTAAGCAATAATTAGTAGTATTAATTAAACTGATATTTAATTTGACGCCGTATTTGTTTTTATTTCATAGTTCAGAAATCATGCCAAGTGCATAAGCAAGGAGTATTCTTCATTCCTTCCAATTTATGGAGTCACACAAGACCCAGAAACAAAGAGTACATGATTGTTATGCAATATGCTAACAATGGTAGTCTTTTGTCTTATTTGGATCAAAATATTAACAAATT